TCCGGCCTCCTCCAGCGTCACCATGGTCGGAGTCTCCCTCGCCTCCGCCTCCAGCCTCCGAGGCCCGGACTCCGCCTCGGCCCGTAGACCCAGTGGCTCCACCTCGGCTCCTAGCTCCCTCGCCTCCACCGTCACCCATCGATCCATCAGCTCCACCGGGCTCCCTCGTCCCTCCGGCTCCGCCTTGGTCGGGCGTCGACCCGCCATCGCCTCTGGACTCCACTCCTCTGGCTGCGCCTCGTCGCTCTGTCCCACCGGCTCCGTTGGGCTCCTTCCTCCCGCCTTGGTCCTCTTGGTCCTCAGTCGCTCCGGCTCCACCGCGGATCTCTGGATCTCCGCCTCCGCCTTGGTCTTCAGATCCCTCGGCTCCACCCTGGCCCCCCGGATCCTCGGCATCCCCCTGGCTCGTTGGCTCTCCGTCTCCACCTCGGGCTCCTCCACCACCTGCTCCGCCGCCGTTGGTCGGCCCCCTGGAGTCGGTGGACATTCCTCCTCCATGGCTCCTCCCTCCATCGGCTCCACCGTGGGCCGCTGTTATGGCTGTGGCCTGGGTCTTGCTGTGCTCTTCCTGCTCCGGGTCCCTCCTGTCTCCTCCCTGGCTCCTCCCTCCGTCGTCTCCTCCCTGGAATCTGTCCGCCGGCCCCCTCCCTGAGCCTTCTGAGCCTTCTCCCTAGTTCCCACCCACTCCCCTCCTGATGTTGTTTCTACGGTGCGAGGACGGGAGGGGGGGGAGGGGGGAGTAATGTCACGCCCCTGGACTCTTTGTGTTGTGTTTTCCCTCCCCAGGTGTGCTGTGTTCCCTTTAATTAGTCATTCCTTGCACCTGTGTTTTCCCAATCACCCAGTGTTTAAAAGCCCCATTCCTTTCAGTTAGTGTTTGTCGGTCCCCAAAGGTCATTCCATGTGTTCCTGTGTCTCCTACATTCCCCGTGAGATCATTAAAGACTGTGAATTGAAGTATCTCCGTGTTTCCTCGTTCCTCGCTCCTTGCCTCCCGAGAATTGTGACACCGTTCACATACCATTCTTTTTTTTAGAAGAGACCTATGACTTAAGAGATGCTTATTGTTCTTGTTTTGTTTTGTTTTTTGTCCTCTACATTTTCTTTCTTTCATTTGTTGTTGTAATTGCTCTGTGGATCTATGTATGGTTATTTTCTTAGCTTGATCTTTTATGCTTTTCTTTTATGCATTTCTCAGATTCTCTGAAGGCCATATTTGAATTTTTGGGCTTTCTGGTTGAAGTCGAGACAGACAAAACTGCAGATCAAATAAAAGCTCCTCTGGCTGCGCCTCGTCGCTCTGTCCCACCGGCTCCGTTGGGCTCCTTCCTCCCGCCAGCTCCACCTTGGTCCTCAGTCGCTCCGGCTCCACCGCGGATCTCCGGATCGCCGCCTCCACCTTGGTCACCAGAGCCTTCGGCTCCACCCTGGCCCCCCGGATCCTCGGCATCCCCCTGGCTCGTTGGCTCTCCATCTCCGCCTCGGGCTCCTCCACCATCTGCTCCGCCGCCGTTGGTCGGCCCCCTGGAGTCGGTGGTCATTCCTCCTCCATGGCTCCTCCCTCCGTCGGCTCCACCGTGGGTTGCCATGGCTGTGGCCTGGGTCCTGCTTGGCTCCTCCTGCTCCGGGGCCCTCCTGTCTCCTCCCTGGCTCCTCCCTCCGTTGTCTCCTCCCTGGAATCTGTCTGCCGGCCCCCTCCCGGGTGTCCGTCCTCCTTCTGAGCCTTCTCCCTAGTTCCCACCCACTCCCCTCCTGATGTTGTTTCTACGGTGCGAGGACGCACCTTCCGGGAGGGGGGAGTAATGTCACGCCCCTGGACCCTTTGTGTTGTGTTTTCCCTCCCCAGGTGTGCTGTGTTCCCTTTAATTAGTCATTCCTTGCATCTGTGTTTTCTCAATCACCCAGTGTTTAAAAGCCCCATTCCTTTCAGTTAGTGTTTGTCGGTCCCCAAAGGTCATTCCATGTGTTCCTGTGTCTCCTACATTCCCCGTGAGATCATTAAAGACTGTGAATTGAAGTATCTCCGTGTTTCCTCGTTCCTCGCTCCTTGCCTCCCGAGAATTGTGACACCGTTCACATACCATTCTTTTTTTTAGAAGAGACCTATGACTTAAGAGATGCTTATTGTTCTTGTTTTGTTTTGTTTTTTGTCCTCTACATTTTCTTTCTTTCATTTGTTGTTGTAATTGCTCTGTGGATCTATGTATGGTTATTTTCTTAGCTTGATCTTTTATGCTTTTCTTTTATGCATTTCTCAGATTCTCTGAAGGCCATATTTGAATTTTTGGGCTTTCTGGTTGAAGTCGAGACAGACAAAACTGCAGATCAAATAAAAGCGCTTATGGCCAAATACAGTAAAGATGCTCGTCATGGAGACTGCTTTGTCTGTTGCGTAATGAGTCATGGAAATAAGACTGGTGTCGAGGGATGCGATGAGCAAATATGTCCCCTGAATGACATCACCTCTCCGTTTGATGGAGACAACTGTCCCGCTCTCATTGGCAAACCGAAAGTGTTCTTTATCCAGGCATGCAGAGGATGTGGGATGCAGAGTAAAGTGCTGGTTGCAGATGGTGCTGGTGCCAGTCGTATCCAGAAATCTGGCAAAGTATACAGCATTGCCAAAGATTCTGATTTTCTGATTGCCCTGTCCACTGTGGAGGGATATGTGTCAGTCCGCGATAAATACAGTGGATCATGGTTTATACAGTCCCTTTGCAAGCATTTAAAAGAAGGAAGTAAACGGTGAGCATCCACTACACTGGCCTTATTACATGCAGTAACACTTTATTTTAGGCCTCCTGTCAGTGTTTATATGTTAAATGGTTTCTTCTTTTATTTTTAGAGGCCAGGACATCTTGAGGATCCTCACTAATGTCAATAACGATGTAAGCCGTGAAGAGGGCTTTATAGAAGATGAGAACAATGATATAGTAGATGCAAAGATGACCCCTCAGCCCCAATTCACCCTGAGGAAGCTTCTTATTTTCAAAGCACCGAAGGTCAGAACTGTTTTTTTTTTAAATTCCATAACAGAAATAAATTACAATTCTGTGCAGCGTTTGTTATGATGTGTCAAAATCTGAAACATTAACAACTGAATGTTGTTCTGTTGCAGATCTGCATCTTCTTAAACTAAAATGCTTAATGTTTTATAATTAAACATAGCCTAACAGCCTTGTGATTTCTGTAAAGCTTGTCGATCTGCATTTAGTAACATTTTGAATATAAAATATTTATCAAATATTCAAAAAAGCTCAATAAATAAAAATATTTATCAAAAAGCTCTCCATTCATTCCCCATTGTAGGGTCAGGCTGCTGCTTCTAAACCGAAGAAAACAGGCTGAACATCCTCATCTTTCACCTGAAGAGGAAATCTTGCCATTGACATTCTAGAGAAGTCTATAGTGTTCATCTATGTTTCCCCATATTTGTTATATTGGATTTTAGAATATGTGTACCACAGGAAAGTGGACCTTGAGGGCCAGAGTTGAGAACCCCTGTTTTACAGGATCAGGATCATTTCATTTAAGACATCTGTGTTTAATCACATAGTTTTCTTTAATTTCTTTAATAAATTACATCAAATTCTCTTATACTGCTTTTGAACTGTTTTGTCTGTCGACTAAAATCACCTACACTTATAACAACAGGACTGAATCCTATAATTTACATATGTTATGTACTTTAATTTACAGTAAACATTTCATTAAAACAGTGCAAAATTAAGTCTTGATGTCAATAAAATAAACTGTTATTCGTATTTTCATTATACAAAAGAATTTAATTTACAATAAACATTGCATAAAAACATTCAGTCTTGGTTTGGTTACAAAAAAGTGTTATTCATCATCTCAGTACACATATATTTTATTAAT